GATCAGGTAAATTTATCTGTGACACAACCAAAATCCTCCGACCTCTAGAGGATAAATAATGAGCGGCCCCTGGTCTGACCGACCAGTTACACAGCCGGGACAGTCGAAGCCACCCCAAGACTTGAACGCCTCGAGTAACTGACCAACTGACTAATACACCAACTAAATCAATAGTCTCCATCGCAGCCACTTTTATGGAATATCACGCTACTTCCCCCTCCCCTACCCCGAAGAATTTGGAGAGCGTTGCGTTACATCCCAAAAACCGGTTTCGATGGAGACTACTGAAGCATTAAGTAATTGACGGATTGCCAATCTCCTCTTTGATTACTGAACGTACTTCCCTGTCTTTAGGGTTGTGATGCAAGAATACGAGAAGACCATCGCTGATATGATCGGTAACTACAGTTCCTTTTGTAATTAACTTTGCACCTTTATAAAATGATGTCTTTTGGCTAGGGAAGTCCTTCTAGTGTGAGATCGTGCATTCATATATTAATTTTGTTAATTTTCAATTGCCTCCGAGATTGCATTGCATTACGTTGCATATTATCTTGCGATGATTTGAAAATTGAGAGCATTGATCTTTTTTTACGCCTCCACAACGTTTAGTTGTTTTGTTTTGTTCCGTTTTGTTAGTTAGTTAGTTAGTTAGTTTGTTTGTTTGTTTATCATTACTTACCAAAGCAACTTTTCCTTTTTGGGTCGTCATCTGTTGCTACAGTTTCAAAGCTGGATGGCTTGTGGAAATGAAGAACTTAAGCTGAACAAAATTTTTGCAGGCTACTATAGCTGATTCGTTCAATATTTTGCCCACTGTTCGCCCGATATCCAGTTATTTTTGTCTTTCTTTTTTGACCCTCCTACCTCATTTGTTTCTGGCAGAAAAAAATCAGAAGTCACAGGACCAATTTAATCACTCAACTTCAGAGGTGGCGAAAGAGCGAGACCAGGTAAAAAATGTTTCACGATTCTTATACTCCAACTAGCGTGATCGGGTCGCTGATTAATGAAAAAGAAATTCATTAATTTTTAAAACCTTTTTGTTCAAGGTGACTCCTTATCGTGGCCAAAGCATATCTATACCCCTTAACTGAATAAAGGGAATCGTGCCGACATTGATAACCTTTTTCAACCACAGTTCTATGGCGCGCGAAAATTTCACGACAGCGAAGTTGCCTGGGAATGTTGACTCCTTCCTGTTTTGCTCGGGTCTCCGCCGAGTCGAGGTCGCGAGTAGTGTCGAGTACAAACTTTTTTGTTAAATAAGGGCGAAATTGTCTCCTTTTGTGTATATGTGAATACCCCCTCTTAACCTGGGTAATAAGAGCGAAAACAATCGAATGTGGACCAAACACAAGGCATCATATCGGAGGCTATTTATGTTCACATAGGAGCTTTCAACTTCAGATAGATTATTTTCCTTGGTACTGATGTCATTTGTTTGCAAAAGCGCGTAACATAACATATAAAGCAGAGCGTATCGTCCAAATTATTTCTTTTTTTTCATTTTATTTTCTTTGTTTTCATTTTAATCTCTTTGTTTTTCGTAGCTTCAATCTGATCTGACGGCGGTAGAGACGGCCTTCTCAGATCTACATAGGAGATACGAGAAACTCAAGGGAGTCGTGGAAAATTTTAAAAAGGTATTAAACATATGGCTTGACTTGATAACCTACTGCTCGCTTGTCTTGGTAAACTACTGCTCTCTGTGAGTTTTGTATTTCGCTTTGTTGCATTGTCTCCATTGAGGATTGAAATCTGTTGGTTTTTTTTCAGAATGAAGAAATACTGAAAAAGGCAACCACTGACTACCAAGAGAAGCTAAAAAGATCTGAAGAAAAATATCGCATGTTAAAGAAACACGCTGAAGAAAAAATAGAAAGGTTTTGTTCTGTCCTTTTTGTGCGCCATTAAAATTTACTTATTTCTGTTTTTATTTATGAATATCTTATTTTTTGATTTGTTTTTTTTGTTTTCAGTGCCAATATCGAAATTGCTCGAGTACGGAAATCCAACGAGTCAGAGATAGCGGTAATGAAAGCGGCGCTTAAGAAGGAACAAACGAAATCAGCTAGCTTAGAGATGAGTCTACAGCAAAAGGTGTGTATTTCCTCAACCAAACCACCTCTCTTTTTCTCCTATAAGTAAAGACCCGTAGTTGTACTTTCACCTTATAATATTCTTGTACCCTTACTTTACCATAAATAAGTTGAGTTTTACTGGACTTAATGTAATTATTTATAACCAAAGCATCGCAGCGGTTTCTCCATTAGTGGGGGGCGCTGAAGGAGAGTTCAAGTGGTTTTGCAAAGTGCTTTTGCTCACTTTGCCTTGTTGCTTAGCTTTCTTTGTTACCTTCCCCCTCCTCCCCCACTGTTTTGTTGGTGTTGTGTTGACAAGTGCCCGGAGGTGGGCTCTGGCTTGGTTGTTACGGCAAACCTACCTACCCTACCCAACTTACCCTCTCGTACAATTGATGAGGTGTTTTGAATACGTTTTTCGCTCCTTTTTTCCAGATATCCGAAAACGCCGAACTCACGTCGATTTGCGACGAACTTATAAACAAAATGGGAGGACAGCGATCATAGCAACACTAGTGATTTTGTCTCTCCTTCAAATTCCTGATGGTTCTTGTCTTTTTTGGGGGCAGAAAGTTTAAAGATGTTGTATATTTAGCGTAAGTTTTGTGGAGTAAGCGGAGGGCGGTCCAACAGTGAGAACACAGCGACTCATCGACTCAATTTTCTATTGGTCAGTGGTGGATCTCAAGACTAATTTAGTGCTCCTTCCTTTTACGACTGTTACAGATGGTAGAGATATTTATATACCGTCCTTGGACAAATTCTTGGGCGTCTGTACAGTTGTAACTTTAGTTCACAAAACCTTCTTTTGTAATGGCTCTTCCGCTTTAGGACTGCCTGTTAGATCATTGTTGGAATGTAATCTTACTGTAAATTCTCAAATTCTGTCTTTTCCATTCGACCAGGAGAAAAAAAAAAAGAAACAATTAAGTTAATACCTTACCTTGTTCTAATAGAACAAAACATAAACAAAATGATACAAGAATCAATGTATAGCGCGCAAAATTGGTCACGCTTGTAACAATATTGTACATTACTGTCTCTTACCGGGCAAGGCTGGACACGAACTAATTAAGGGTAGAGAAATTCTGGATGATTTGATATGACTTCGATTTCCTTTTTCGGTTGCCGAATTTCATCATATGTAAAAGACCATAATAATGACCGTCATGTATTCATCAGCGAATGATTTCAACAGGATATTGTCGAATGATAATCTTTGGGTTTGGTTACCGAACCAAGCATGAGGTGCTGTGATGTTAGTTTTTTTGTTTGTTTCTTCTATCCATTTCTTTTTGTCTAGCGAAGCCTGAAGTGTCACTAAATCATATGTACAAAATGATCAGCCAAGAATGTTTTGTGGCTCTACTATTCCGCCGCAACCCTCTCTACCCGGGAAAACTTAAATTTAAAGAGGTGAAAACAATTTCCAAAACTTTACAAGGTTTGTAGGTGGTAGGAAAAAAAGGTTATCGAATGGTTCCCTTTGAAATGATAAACAAGAACAGAAATGTTAGAACAGTAGTGAAAAGTAGCAGGAAGTCGTATAGTTCCGTGCTTGGAATCGTGCTGAAAAATAGACCAGGGCCCAGTTGTTTAAAGGTGGGACGTTATCCAATGGATAAATCGCTCTTCAGCGGATAAGTAATAGCAAAACGTACCACGCCATCCACCAGATCGAGATTTATCCAGTGGATAGCGTTATCCAACTTTGGAACAACCGGGGCCAGTATGTTTGTATTTTTCTAAGCTTTTATTAATAAATATAGGTGGATTGAATTGTGTGTGTTTGGATGTCCACCTTAAATTCACGAAGTTAGCATGTGGACGGGCTGATCGGAATGGATAGGGGCATATCATAAGGGCTGATAGCCTCGGCCGGGAGGGAAAATCAGAGAGGCTAGATCTGATCGGCATCGGTAGGGGTATATCATAGAGGCAGATCGTATTGGCCGGGAGGCATATCAGAGGGGCTGATCGGCATCGATAGGGGATATATCAGAGGGGCTGATCGGTGTCGGTAGGGGACATAACATGGGGGCTGATCGCATTGGAAAGGAGGCACAACAGAGGGGCTGATCGGAACCGGTTGGGGGGCATATCATGAGAGCTGATCTGAATCGGTAGGGGGCACATCATAGGGGCTGATCGAAATGAAAAGGGAGAAATCCAATTGGGGCTGATCAGAATCAGTGGATTGGCGGGCATATCACAAGGGCTGATAGGAATCGGCAGGGGGCATACTACAGGGGCTGATCGGAATTAATGGACAGAGAGCATATCATGAGGGCTGATCGGAATGGACAGGAAGCATAACAGAGGGGCTGATCTATATCGGTAGCGGAGCATATCATAAGGGCTGATCGGTATTGTTAAGGGGCATATCATAGGGGCTGATTGGTACCGGTAGGGTACATATCAAAGGGGCTGATCGCATTGGATAGGAGGCTTATCAGAGGGGCTGATCGGAATCGTCGGGAGCGTATCAGAGGAGCTGCCCGGGGATTTCATCAGGGCTACGGCTTGGATCACGTGCCGTGATCGCACTGAGAGTGACCCTTTCTAAGGGTTTTGTATTCTTGAAGGGGTGAAGTGGTGAAACACCAGCATAGATACCCACAATACAAACCAGGAGTCCAGTAATGAGCTCCTGTATATGTACAAACTTAATAAGGAAAAAAACACCCCGTTTCTTCCCGAAAAAAAGGCCAAAAAAAGAAACAACAACAAGTTGATTGTACTCCAAATCAAGTTTCAGTGATTTATTAAATATACTCACTCTTTTTTGGTCCCATTTTCCTTTTCTTTATTTGACACTGACGTCCGACGGCACTCCGGACAGGTAAGAGAACCACTTCCCAACCTCCCAATACACGCTTCCAAAGAAAGATGAGAGTCGCCTGGGGATAATTAAGATATCAAGCTCGAGTTCAAGGGCGTCGAAGGAAACTTTCCTTGTTAGCACTGATGGGTCGTAAATTTTGGATAGCTGCAATTTTGGTTCCTCTTTTTTTTTACTTTATTTTGAAATACCAAGATGCTGATTTTATATTGATGATGTACGAGAAGATCGGCCAAGATCCTGCAACTGCATTGCGAGGAAAAGTTGTGTGGATCACTGGTGCTTCCAGCGGGATTGGAGAATACTTTGCATATGAACTGGCTAAATACGGCTGTAAACTAGTGCTGTCTGCACGGAGGAAGGCAGAGTTAGAGAGAGTCAAGAAAAACTGTGCAGGTAAGAGAGAAATTGTGGTGAAATTGGGATGAACGAATTCAACCAAGAACAAGAATACTCTGTTAAATGATGCATGTTAGCGGAGATCTTTTCTCCTGCTGTAAATCTTTACCAAAAATGTCATATGATTAGTCTTGTTATCAAAAGATATAAGTATTTAAAATAAAAATTCTCGCAGTTATGTTTGCTTGTTAATTTGGAAAGATTTACGCGCAACCTTAGTGTTATTCTACCACAAAGCCCTAGTCCCAAAGGAAATCTTCTGCATCGTCATTGTTTTCTTTTATCGAAGCACTGTATGCATAATGAAGTGTGGGTTTATACGGAGATCTTTCCAGTAATTTATACATGTTTGTAAGAGATCGTTGTTAGGTGATTAATTCTACCAATATTCGTTATAAATATGCTTTAAGATCTCCTACAAAGCTCAAAAAAAGTAACGTACTTATTTCATTTTTGTATCGCACCTAGCTTGCGTCACTGCAGGTTTTGCGATGTCACGCCAGCTGTCACGGCAACTTCCCCGAAAGTAACCTTCCTACATTCCTGATGAATTTTATTTTGTTACTGATAAAGAAAAGATATTTAGTTTCCTTGCATATCCATTCTGTCTTGTTCCACTTTTATCCATTGCAAAACTGTGGAAAAGATTTCTGGATGTAATTCATGTTTATATTTGTTTGTGCTTTTCTCTTAATTCTGTCAAAGTTTTTTCCGTCATATTAAAGATGAAAGGTTTTGTATTATGTTTTTTTTAAGGTTACTACAATGATGAAATCCTAGCCTAGGAAAGTCAATCTATAATTAAATCTTAGGTTGAAAGTGTCTGTTTTTTTTAAATTTTTATTTACATCCTAGCAATTGCAGCTGGTATTGATGCTTCATTTAACAAAGATCAAGATATTCTTGTACTTCCATTGGATTTGATGAAATATGACACACATGGCAACCTGACTCAAGATGTCCTTAAGCATTTTGGAAAGGTACTGATAGCAGTTAAACCTGTATCACCTGCTTTTAAGGAAGCTGTGATACCCTGTATTAGGCAGTCACCCTGCCATTCCCCTTGTGTGACAGCTTATTACAGGTTCAACTGTAATACTTAGTTTACAGACTTTATCTCAATGGCAGGAAAGGAGGAAAGTGGACTGTAGCTCACTTAATTGAGAGTTTTAGAGGAAAGCTTCCACTTAACAATTAATGTGCATAACAACCCCTGCAGTATAAAAAAGGTAGCTTGGCAAAATAATTAGTGTGGATAGAATATTCACTAGGAAATGCTACCACATTCTGGACAAACAAGTACCTTTCCCATTACAGAATTCCTGCCTATCATGTCACTTCATTGTCACTTTGTAGATTGATATTTTGGTGAACAATGGAGCTCGTGGCCAGAGATCTTGGATGAGAAGCACTCCTTTAGAGGTGGACAGAGCTATATTTGATTTAAATGTGATTGGTACCATCTCTATGACCAAAGCAGTTCTTCCACACATGATTGAACGCAAAAAAGGACAAATTGTGGTGGTTAGCAGTCTCGCCGGAAAGACAGGTTGGTAAATTGTTGTAAACATGCTAAGAAACTACAGATGTTAAGTGATAGATTAAAATCAGAAAGTTATTAATGGGTGAGAAGTGGGGTGTTGGAAAATTGAGGGGAATTAAACAAACGGTGGTTAGAGGTCTTAGAGGCAGTGGCAGACTGCTGCTAACCCTTAAACTCCCAAGATCTGATTTTTAATTTTCCCTTCTAGCTGCTACACATTTCCTTGCAAATGAATTGTGAGAATTTGGTGTTAGATCAAGACTACCAATTTCTACTTGATAAGTTTGGGTATTCTCATTACGTGTTTGCTGAATAATGTATGGATGTTATAAGGAGATGTTACATGTTAATCACTTCTGGGAGTTAGAGGGTTAGGTGGTTTTTTTTTTCCTTTTAAAACCGGTGGTTATTGCGTCTTAACCCATTAACTCCTAAGATCTGATTGTTAATTCTCCCCTCTAGCTGCTACTAATATCCTTGTAAATAAGTTACGAGAATTTGGTGTTAGATCAAGATAACAACTTCTACCTGATGCATTTGAGTATTCTCATTACCTGTTTGCTGAATAATGAATGGATAATTTAGGGAGAATTTACTTGTTATGCACTTCTGGGAGTTAAAGGGTTAAGTGATCTCAAGCAGATGCCAGTTGATGGTAGTTTCAACAACATTAACCCTTTACATCCTAACTTCAGTATGTGCTATTCTCCTTACTGTTTTATGCAATTCCTATGGAACTGATAAGGAGAATTTGTTTAACAATCAAGAGCTTCGTAAGTTGGTGATCATTCTGTTTATTCTCATGACCTGGACATGTAATTCAGAAGTGATTCTGTAAGGAGAAATTAGATGCAAGTCTCTCTCAAGAGTTTAAGGGTTAAATCATGTTTCCCTGATAGTTTACTCATTTCTACCCTTCTAGTTTTGTTTCTACCTGTTTGTACTGCAACTTTCACCGCCACAAACCTGTAAGAGTCTAATTGTCTGAGTTATTTTGCCCCCAAACCTGTCTTACTTTATAACAGGGCTCCAAGTTCTCTTTTTCAAAAAGTGGCCCTAAGGCAACTTTCAGCTGCAAAATGGTCTTCAATTATAGTATGTACATGCTCAGGGTGGGTATAACTTCCTCAGAGGGTTGAAGGAGGTATGGTTTGGTTTTAACCCAGCATGCACTCATTTTAAGCTAATGCGTGTCTGATACTTGCAGAACAGCGAAAGAGGAAAAAAGGAAACATCAATAATTTTTTTTTCAAATCTGTTGGTTGCCAACTGGCGACTTTTGCTGAAATTTTGACCAAAACTGTCACAACTTGGAGCATTGTTATAACCATTTCCAAAATAAAGAAAAGCAGTCTTTTATTTTCCTCCTGCTCCTCCTCAGAATGCCTGATGAACTGATCTGAAGAGATTATAGTTAATATTAGTCCTATGAAGTCTGCTAATTTAACTTTTACACAATGTGTGATGATTAGAAAGCCACCACAATTATTTATTTGGATTTATTCACAGCATTACCCCACTCAGCTACTTATTGTTCCACCAAATATGCACTGCAAGTATGTATCAAAATTGAACTTATCTTAGTGGAATTAAGACTATGTTAACTAACGTGAGAAACTAGAAGTAGTTTAGTTAGAGGAATTTTGATGATAAAGGTGGAATGAAGCTTAATTTTCAAGTTTATTTAGAAGGGATCTGTCTTTAATTAGTGTTCTCAATAGTAACCCGCTCATAATTTCCTTTCGACTTTCTCTTTTTGTGTGTGTGACTTTTAATTTTTTCTAGCACGTCATATTTTAATACCCGATCGAATGCCGCCCTTGGTGCAAGGCCGAAGATAGCACCCACTTAGAGCTGTACGGCGCTGATTCAATGTAGTAATCTAAACCTTTTCTTGAATATTTATACTCAAAAAGTGAGACACTGGACCTTGAAACAGTTCTCTATTACAATGAATCTATCGCTCTAACGAAGGGCTAACGCACGAAACGTCAGCCTTTAAACTCTTTACGATGATCAATATACGTTTTCAACTCAGTTGTTAACACTAAATTATCTGTTACAATTATTTTAGTCATTTTGTCAATTAAGAAATATGTATTTGAATGAAACTCTTCCTAAATCGCGTGGAATTTTATAGACGCCACGGCATTTATTCGAGTCGGTAAATTTGTTTTAATGAACTCAATCAGTTGTTTCTGAACCAAACGTTCATTGGTCTCTAGTTAGTAAAGCGGAGCACTACTGTGGCGGAGGTGAAAAAAAAAAAAAGGCGCGGAGGTTTGAGTCGAGTAGCGTTTGTTGCGTAAACCGACCCAAACCTCCCTCGGTTTTCACACCTTCGCTCACTAGCGCGCCTCGCGTAACCAACTGAACGCCAAGTAAAGGTTAACCTCTTTGATTTGAACAGGGATATTTTGATGGCGTACGGTTTGAGCTGGCTCGACATAACATCCACGTGCAGACGGTTCTTCCAGGGCCGGTAAAGTCACAAATCAGTGAGAAAGCTTTCACTGGGGATATCAAAGTCGTAAGGAAACAACTAAAGCTTAAAGAAATATGGTGTTGTAATTATGTAATATGTGTAATAATTTATTTATTGTCAAAGACGTGGGAAGTGGTCGCCCAATCTTCCAAGAAATGAAGCTCATGTATAAAACGCTCGACAACAAACAAGAAAAATAAATGAGAAAAATAGGTAAAAATAAAGCATAAATATATTTAATTCGTAGGCAGGAGTAAAAAAAGCACCCTTTAAAATCAGTTTTACCTAATATCCTAAGAAATTCGGAGATAGACTTGCTTTGTTTGATTTAACTATTTAAGTTGTCCCAGTAATGAGAGTAATGAGTTTTTATTTGTGTCCTAACGAGCGTGGAAGCATGCCTCCTGGAAACTTTTCCCAACGGAGTAAAACAAGCATGAATTACTTTGAAAGAGAGAACATGTTGAGATTTTCTTGTGCCAGGTGTGTTCCGTTTATTTTTTTTTTACACTTGTTTATTGCATCTTCTGTTTAGGATTTCGGAGACTCACCAGAGTATGTCAAGATAAAGTTTCCACTAATGCCGACTGAACGCTGTGCAAAACTTATGGTGGTCGGAATGGTAAACAACTTGGATGAAATATGGATCTCAGAGAACCCAATGCTGTTAGGGACTTACATAAAAGAGTATTTTCCAATCCTCTATAAATGGTACGTATTGATTTTTCTCTATTTGTTTTTGTATGTCTTTGAATTTCCGAAATAGAAAATAAAAGGCTGATGTATTCACCTTTCATTCATATAATTATATAAAAAGGGCGACATTTTTAGCATCGGTTTGGAATCGTAATCTCGGGAGATTTGCAGCAGTGAAATGGCCGGCAGGGAGTGGGACGAATCAAATAGCATAGCCAAGCCTTTTTTCCGGAAAGAAATATTTTAACCACTGTTCAAGATGTTTTTTATTGAAAAAAAAAACTCCTTCCATGTAGAATTAGCTACTTCTCGGCCAATTTTAGCAGTGTTTTTAACGTTCCTTAATCAATGACTTGTTGTTGGATGTTTTTCCTGACTCCTTCCCAGTCGCCTCTCTATTCTTAATATTAACGCGGAACGCGTGTTTAAGGAGCACGCCATAGTCCTCTTTGTCGTGTTGGGGACCAGTCGTTATTTATCACCTGTGGGAGGGGGGGACGGGGAATTTGGTGGGATCACGTTTTTCAGGGGAACCAAGGGGGACGAGTCGTCGCCATTTCGTTAATAGAGTATACAGGCGGGAACTATATAAAATTGGCTGCCAATCAACTGCCTATGAGGGGACTTATAAGAATATTACAGGGCCTTATGGGGAGATCAGGTAAATTTTTATCGTAATTTTTTATCGACAATTTTAATCGTTTTTCTTTACTCTCTCCCTTCTCTCTCTCTACCCTCTCTAATAAATAGCTAAATATTAATGTAAGAATAATTTACATGTAAAATAAGTAAATCTCTCTCTGCACCCGGTCTGCTACACATTTTCTTATAAATCAGTTACGAGAATTTGGTTTTAGATCAAGGTAACAACTTCTACTTGATAATTTTGAGTATTCTCATTACTTGCGTGCTGGATGATGTCTGGATATCACAAGAAGTAGTGACATGGAAATCACTTCTAGAAGTAAAGTTATTAGTGTTAAGAAGCAAAAAAGCTTTAACTCCACTTTTTTATGGTCTGTTTTCTCACCAGGATCTCACAGCCTTTAATGGATAAAGTAATTACTACTCTGGAGTTAAAGACATCACCATGAGGGATACAACGACCAGCCCAGCAGATGTTACACCCACCCCCTCTCCCCCTAGAAAATGTGTCAATTTGTACTGAGATGCGCCCGTCTGAAAAAATAGAGTGGGGTTCAATGTTCGAAAATTCCAAGTCCTTAGTTTTTAGAATTTTTATATTGAAGTAGTAGGCTAATAAGGGGTGACAAAAGGCACTTCATGATTTTTCACAGGTTGTCTGCATATTGACTTGAGCTTATAAATTACGGGCTTATTGTAATACAGACAATAGACATCTAATCTTGAATCTACGTAACAAACCGAGAAAAGATGTTTACACTGAAACAAGAATTACAATTATAAACTGTAATTAAGAGTGCTGTGGGAATAACGCAAAACAGTTATGTGTAAACCTGTTAGCAAAATTAAACTAGTTTCGACAACACACCTGTAAGAACTGTTTGATTTCTGGAGGCGATGTAACACATGAACGATACCTAAGATACGAACAACATTCATGTATATAAAGCCAGTTTTTCCTCGAGGAAATGAATAAACAAAGAATAGAGGGACACTTCCGTCCGATTTGGGACATTTTTGCACGATTTTAGACGCTGTTCTCTCATTTAGGACGCCTTGGTCCGATTTTGGAGATTTCCGCCCGATTTTGCACAGTTTGGGCCAATTTGATTTGTCTGATTTTGGAAAGGATGGCTTTCTCAAATAAGATGTAAGTAAACAAAAGCGATATCAGCAATCTGTTTGCTTTTCCTTCTCGGAAATGTTCTTATTCCCCAACAAAGCTAAGGAAACAGAAGACACATCCATGCCTCGTACATCAGATTACAGACTTCTCTTATTTTGCGCTGCCAAATACAGCTGAGGGTAGACTAGGGACAACACCGATAACAGTTTCGGTAAGGCCGGGGTTTCGGTGAAACTCGTGTGACCTTGTAACGATGGGTCGTAAATTTTGGATAGTTGCAATTCTTGTTCCCATCCTTTGCTGCTTTCTTTTGAAATACCAAGATGCTGATTTTATATTGATGATGTACGAGATTATCGGCCAAGATCCTGCAACTGCATTGCGAGGGAAAGTTGTTTGGATCACCGGTGCTTCGAGTGGGATCGGTGAATATTTAGCTTATGAACTGGCTAAATACGGCTGTAAACTAGTTCTTTCTGCACGGAGGAAAACAGAGTTGGAGAGAGTTAAGGAAAACTGTGCAGGTAAGAGAGAAATTGGCACCAAATCGAGTTGAACGGAGATAATCGAGAACAAGAAAACAAATACTGTCACCACGTTTTGTGTGACAATGACAAAGTACTGACAGCGGTCGATCGCCTTCCTCTTTTTGTGCTATGTGCACGTGTGTAAGGTCCTAATATAGATGTAATTTAGTCTGTTTTTTTGTCTTATTCACGCATGTCAAAATCTCGTTCAAAGCTCCCAATGTAGAAGTGTTACATGTATTTCCGATTTCGTGTTTCCAAGTAGTGAAGTTTTCTTCGTAGCAGTGTGGGGGTGTCACGCAAAGACGCCGCCTCCCCCTTACCCAGCCTTTCTTTCCTAAAAAAAGCCTTTTTAGCGGACGCGAGTGCTATGTTACGTTAACCTTCCAGATGATCGTGAGTTTTATTTCGTGACTTATAATAAAGTGATACTAAGTTTTTTAGCATATCTTAGCTGTTTTGTCAATTTTATCTGTAGCTTAACTGTATCGAAGATTTTGGTCAAAGTTTTAATTCCCGGCTTCAGTAAGGTATTGTAAAAATGGGTAGTTATTTAGGCCAGTCGTTCAATGAAATCTTTAGTTGAGAGATTAAGTGATTTGTCATTTATTTTTCAGCAATTGCCACTGGTCTTAATTCTTCATTTGAAAAAGATCAAGATATTCTTGTACTTCCACTAGATTTGCTAAAACATGACACTCATGGCAATTTGACTCAAGATGTCCTTAAGCATTTTGGAAAGGTATGAAATGGGTTTGACATGTAAGTTTGCAGATTTTATCAGGTGGAACAGTGGGAGGGAGGCCTGTAGCTCTCAAGTAATGAAAACTTAGATATGCATGTCCCTCCCCACCGATGATTGATGATGAAAATAACACAAACTAACACTGCATTAAAGTGGCATGGTAAAATAATGAGCATGGTGATCCTTTTCCAGATCATCTCATTAGTATTGCACTCAGCTAAAATAAAGGTCTGAGGATTGTTTTGAGCAACTGCCTCCTTATTCCTTGTCACAAATTCATTTGGTTGGTGTGAAGTGAGCCTCTACCACATGTCTAATGCCCTGTTGCCCCCCTCCCCCCCCTCCAACATGTAACATGTTTGAATTAACTGACGTCTAAAATTAGCAAAAAAGGGTAAGCTTTGCCTTATCACCAGTCACCTCCCCCCTCCTAACCTTGTCAGTCTCCTCTCTTTCATTTTCTAGGTTGATATTTTGGTTAACAATGGAGGTCGTTTCCAAAAATCTTGGATAAGAAAAACTCCATTAGAGGTGGACAAGGCTGTTTTTGATTTAAATGTTTTTGGTACCATCTCTTTGACCAAAGCAGTTCTTCCACATATGATTGAATGGAAACAAGGACAGATTGTGGTGGTTAGCAGTGTCTTGGGAAAGATGGGTAAATGTTATTGCAATTAGAGTGGATATTTTCCAACAAGTGGAACACAGAGAAAGACAGATTTTGTTACATGTAGTTACTAGCATCTTAGGACAGATTGGTAAATTTTGCCTGCTAAGGCCCTCAAGCATTCAGAATATCCAGTGAGTTTTCCAGACAATGAAATGCTCAGAATGCTGGCATCTTTGGTAATCCTGTGAATATAATATTCGATGAATAAGTAATAACAACAATTTTTTGTTTGATTTCACAGGGGTTCCTCATTCAGTGGTGTATTGTGCTACAAAACATGCCTTGCAGGTATTCACTAGACTTGAATTTATTTTGGTGTAATTTAAACTTTGCTAATGTGGGAAAATGCAATAAGAGTTCTAAATGTTCATGCTGTGTTTGGACTTTAGGTTGAAGTTCAAGTTTCAAAAAGTTATGTGAAAGGAGCTGTTCCATAGCTATATTTATTCTGCACATTTTAATTGAAAATCACTACATCAAAATTCCCCACACAAGGAATGCATGCAATATTGTGCTCAGGGCCAGTGATATCTGTCCAGCCCTGCTTGTTGCATGCCAAAAGGAGAGAAGATGAAAAATAAAGAGTAGCAGTCTTATGATAAAACTCTAATGGACTGAGTTAGGTTGGGTAGTACAGCAAAATAAATGGCTCTTGGTCGTGGTCAATATGGACTTCCCTGCACATGGTCTATGTGTCATGACCTCAAACAAAATATTTCTTGTTCAGTGCTCTTGCTATGTCAATAAGAACATATTTATCAGTAGTGCTCCAATTGGACTGCTGGTAACCAATCACTTCTTAAAAATTTTGCTACAGTTTTGTATTTTATAGAACTAGTGTGACCAAACCCCTCTCATTTAACAGGGTTACTTTGATGGGGTACGTATTGAGCTGGCGCAGCACAACATCCATGTACAGACTGTCCTTCCAGGGCCAGTAGAGTCGCAAGTTGCTAATAAGGCTTTTACAGAGGACATCAACATTGTAAGGAAACAGATTAATTTTGTGTTGGACATGTAGAGGCTTGCTCTACACATGGGTGGATCTAGAAATATTTGCTAAGGGTCTAGGCTTTGATTCAGAAAACACAGAACACATTTTACTTAGTAATGCACCACATTGCCACTGTATGCAGATACTGTGGTGTTGTAGTAATTGTTTGGGGGGGGAAGGGGTAGAGGTGTAACTCATCCCAGACATTGGTACTGTCTGCTTCCAATATGGTGTCATAAATATAATTTTTTTAACAAATTGCCGACAAAATTTTTTCGCAAGTTAGGATTATTTGTAGTGGAGTGCATTGTCAGATGTATGATATAAAGTGTTTTCTTGCTCTAAAAGTATCTCCCTTATTCAATGTTTGTGCTATTTAAGGAGTACAAAGACTCACCAGAGTTTATCAAGATAGACTTTCCAGTAATGCCGACTGAACGCTGTGCAAGACTTATGGCGATTGGGATGGCAAACAACTTGGATGAAATATGGATCTCACAGAACCCAATGCTGTTAGCGACTTACATGAGACAGTACTTCCCCAACCTGTTTAATTGGTATGTTTTTATTTATGTGAAGTTTCGATAGAGGCTCGAAGAATGTACGGTTAATACAGTCGCCTGTGGTCCCTGTAGCACGAACGCAAGCGTGTTCCTTCTCTAGGGAGCAAAGGTGGCATCATTTTCGGTCTAGGTTTTTAAATTTGCCGGCAGCGAGCGGGAATATCAAAATGGGGTAGCGACTTTCTGAGAAAAACCTCTGAAGGTTTTTCATTTGTTTCCGCAAAATTTACCATATGATTCCATCTGTTTCCCCACCGGAACAAAGGGGTTATATCAATAAAGGTCCCTGTTTATCGAGTTATTTCTTGCAGAATTTCCAACAGCCCTTTCATTAAGTTCTAAGCAAAGGAAACGCTGCTCATTAGATGAGAACCTTTTTTCCTGACTCGTGCTCAGTCTTCTGCCTACTTTAACCATTAACGCGGGAAGCGCGTGAGAGTTACACGCCACCGCCTCATTCGTCGTGGTAGTGCTAGTCTCCCGCGAACCCTGCGAATAAGGATGAAACATAAAAGACAACTGGTGACGAGTCAGATGTTTTCCGATGGCGCGGGCGTGTGTTTGGGTACAAATATCACTTGTTTGTTATTAACACTAGAAAGGGTTGAAGGCTGAAATGACTTCGCTTAGGGGCTCACTACTGACTTCACTGTTAGTATCTGAAAGTATATGAAGAATCCGGTCAACGAATGGTGAAATCTTAGAAAGCTGATTAGGGAGCTACTGTATATGATTCCACCTGCTCACTTTTTTTCTTTTTTCTTTTATAATTGTTTGTTTTTTATTACCAGGATCATAAAAGCCGCAATGGATAGAATGATGACTTCCTACGAGGCAAAGTTATCATCGGAAAGGCACAAGCGACGAGCTCAGGAGACGTGACGGAAAAGAAGAAAATTGTGCTCCCCTGGAAAATCTTAGCAGTTTCTACTGCGAGAAAAGTCTGTCAGTAAAAATTGAAGCGCTGTTCTTAGAATTGAAATGCCAGATACTGGAAGATTGAAACATCAGTATTTGAACAAGTAGGCTAGTAGGGCGTGATACTAGATAGATCTTTTAGAAGTTCTCTCCAGACTTTTTCATGCTTATTCACAGTAGCCGGTCGCCAATTAGACTTCCAAATACCCGATTTTTTATCCTAGCGTATGCAAACGGTTGCCATATATAACTTCGTAATGGGCCTTGCTCACATAGAGTGTCTGTGGCTCAGAGGTAGACCATCGGAGCGTGGAATCCGAAGGTCTGATGTTCGATTCCTCATAGGGACTCAGAATTTTTTCCTAGTCCCACGCTCGTGACAAGACGAAAACATTTTTTTCTATTTCTTTACCGAGCTCAAAACTAATAATATTTCTTATTCTATTTACAAAACATGATGCTATCGACATTGCTGATCCTGTCTGCAGGATGGGTGTCAGATACGAACCTCTTTCTTATTATTTTTACACCCAATCCTTGTGTTCTGGATAGAATTTTAATTTAAGGTTACTTTCAAAACAATTCAAGACTAGACCTGAAAAATTGATATTACACGAAAAGTGTTTAATTAAGAATTGTATCTGGTGTGAAAAGGTAAACATGAGCTTTCTCCGGGCTCGTCGCGTAAGTGACGATTGTGGACCAATTAAATTCCACTCTTCATACAAAGTCGGACTAAAGGACATTTTTCAATCATTTTTTATAGCACTGCTTTTAAATACGAAATAGCCTTTAACCTTTTTTCCTCGGAGAATAGAGTTAGGGGTTTATTGAACATATAATGACCCCTTTCCAACTGACAGGACAGGTGCCTCCTGATCGTCAGATTCCTTTGGAGATGCTTATGAAACGGGGCCTTTCCTCCTTCGTTGACCCTTGGTGGTAAAGGCTTTATGTTCATCGTTCTGTCAAGATCCTTCGATCGGTCTTATTGAGATTGGGACTATATTTTCTGGATCTAACAATGGAATAAAAAATGTTTTTTCTAGAAGCCGTTTTATTGTAAACAGGAGATGATTGAAATTTTAGACTGAATTTGCAAGTGTTAGTAGCTGGAACATGTAACTTCGATGTACACCAACAAAGCAGAACTTAATTCTGTGACGTCACTGAAAACTATCGAAACGTTATTAACCCTATCAGGCCCCCATATCAGTTAGACCCCAAATGTTCTTAAAAAAAAAAACAAACAAACAAACAAACAAAAAAACAAAAAAATTGATGCAAATGGACGAAATCTTTTGATTACCACTATCGCCATGCCACCTATTTCTTTAGTTTTTTTAAAATACTAAAATGGCGATTTTACACAAATAATTTACGAAAAGATCGGGAAAGATCTCAGCGTTAAGCTGAGGGACGAAGTTGTTTGGATCACTGGCACTTCTAGCGGAATTAGTGAACAATGGTGGAAGATCTAAGATATCTTTGGGGAAGAATACTCCATTGGAGGTTGACAGAACAATTTTAGATATAAATCTCATTGGTACCGGCTCTCTTAGACCAAAGCTGTTCTTCCGCATATGATGGAGCGCCATAATAGACAAGTGGTCATTGTGAGCGGTGGCTTGGCGAAGTTTGGTAACGTAAACATTGTCCATTGTTGATAAGATATTCTGATATTCATATGATATCCTAGAGTTGGATGGCGTAACGCAGGCTGGAAGCAAGAGAAAAAATTCCGTTTGTGGACCCGCATTTGCCGGAGAGTGGTTTGTGCTCTCTTTGCTTGAATCTCCTTTACCAAATTTTTTTTCTGTGGCAAAAAGGACTGAAGGTGAAATCATTTAAGGAGTGGTAGTATGTTTTCAAATAAGACTGTGATTAAAGGAATCCACGAAACATCAAATCATGAGAGAAATCGGATCAATATCACTACCTAAACATCTACGTACCCACCCCTCCCCTAACCCAATATTAACCCTTACTTGTTATCATTTGATTTTTGTTGGGTTGGGGGAGGGGTAGGTACTCGGTTGCTAACATTGATCCGAGAAATCTTTGCATATTGTGACGGGATATCCAAACCGCAGTTTCTGATTAACGCTTATTAAACCAAATCAAAGGAATTGCAGTGGCGACAATCAAGGCGGAAGAGATCTAGAACTTATGAAGGAGCCAGTTTGAACTGAAATTAAGAAAAAGAAATTGTCCCCAAAAGTGGAGAAACGTGAATGATCAACAGCTCATTGATTTTACTTTAATTTATCATCTCATTTTTTGAGAGGGTGACACGAGGTTTTTTCACTGATAAAAAAGCGAATGATACGATCCTAAATTAAATACAATAATTTAGTTTTATCAACTGAGTTGATAATTTAAATTGGCCACCGAAAAGAGTTTCTGAAGCTGATGACGTTTCGAACGTGAACCCTCTCAGAATTTGAGGTCCTCTTTCGACATGTCCAAAATGGTATCGATCCCGGATTTTGCCTCTGAGCCCTGATTCCATGGCTCTGTTCCACGATCCTAGGCTTCTGATCCCTGATCCCAAATACCTCCTTACATAGTCACACTTACATACCCACTTAATTGGCTCGTTCCCACGGGGCTTTTCAGAGTCGATGTTACATTAAAATATTAAAAAGGAAAACAGAAAGCTAAACATATTACAACGATGACGCAAAAGGAGACAAAGGTTGAGTAAAAATTAAATAAAACACAACCTCGTTCCCATGGCCTTTTCCCTACCCCTAAGTAAGGGAAAAGGCCATGGGAACGAGGTTGGAGAACGTGGTTGAGTAAAACAGTCATCAAGAAGCTTTCGCCTGAGCAGGAGCCTGAACTCCGTCACGGCTGATGTATTCACGGAGGAACAACACAACCTTACGACTCATGAATAAATTGGACGAACCGTAAAGGTCGAAAGTTCAGATTTACGACTCGACGATATATATATATATATATATATATATATATATATATATATATATATATATATCTATATATATATATATATATATATATATATATATATATCTATATATATATATATATATATATATATATATATATATATATATATATATATAGATATATATATATATATATATATATATATATATATATATATATATATACCCCTGTATGTTGAAATCGATTGAATGTTAGCTGAAACACGTGACTTAGATGTGCACCAGACCGTAACCAAACCCCCACAGACTAGAATGATCGAAAGGCTGTCGATCGTACCACGCCACTCGTATCAGACCCAAATTTTCATCGAAAAAAAATCGATGCAATGGGACGAAATCTTTTGACTGCTGCATTACTCGTTCCTCTTGTTTGTATCTTATTTTTCAAATACCAAGACGGCGATTTCACATTAATGATTTACGAAAAGATCGGGAAAGATCCCAGCGTTGCACTGCGGGGCAAAGTAGTTTGGATTACAGGCGCTTCCAGCGGAATTGGTGAATATTTAGCATACGAACTGACCAAACACGGCTGTAAATTAGTACTATCTGCAAGGAGGAAGGAAAAGTTAGACAAGATCAAGAAAAAGTGCGCAGGTAAGGCGAAAAAAGGATATAAACCTGTGCGAAGCTAGAGAATTAGGTAAAGTTTCTGTACAGCCCCATACCATTGCAAAACAAATCTGTTTTCCCAATGGAAATGTATTGTTTTTGTCATTGTTTTCTCTCTTCAAGAACTAAATGCATAATGTAGTATGGGGCTGTGCGGAAATTTTACCGCATGTTGTCATTTCGCTGCCGTTGAAGCAGATGCGAAGAATGTTACAAGAAGCGTTGCTAAAAAAAATACCTGATGAGATACATCACTGTACGCGGAACTAGCTCGATTATTCCATGCCTCTTCGCATCTGCTTCAACGGCAGCGAAACGACAACTTGCTTGACACACGATCAAATAAATGATAAAAGAAAGATGCCAATTTTGACCGAAGAAACGTTTCTTGAAATTGGGAAGTTATTTCAGAAAAATTCCAAAGCCGAAGTTTGAACACATGTGCTGCGAGCTCGACTCAATGTCCAAACTTTCGGGGTTTGTTTACATCAAAAGTGAAATCTAAATCTAAATCTACACTTGAAATCTAAAGCCCAAAAGATTAATTTAAATAAGTATGATTAAAAACATAGATTCACTCATGCAGTGACCTTCATTTTAAATCTAAAAACATTTGTCGCCGATCTAGTTTTGATTTTTCTAGTGCACGTTTTACTTCAACTTCAGAAGGAAATGTTTAGTTTCTCAGGGACCAAATTAAGATTGCGTGACAGGATACCTTGAGCCGTGACTCAATGTGATGCAAAGCATCAGGGAGCACGGGCTCAAAGCACTTGAGCGAAGGCTCAAATAGGCAGACAAGTCGGGTTCGGCGAGAGATCAAGGCAGTGAGAGTGAAAGTCTTAAGGGAATGACGTAAACATACTTCTTCCATTTTTCCTGTTGTGTAGCTGTTTGTTGTTGGAAGTGATCACAGCGATTTTCTGGAAACTAACCTTACTATTACAGCTTATTACGATCATTGCTCATGCGAGCGTGGTAATCGCTAGGCTCGATTACCAGCCGTTGCCGGGTTAAATAAGACGGCGCTCCTCCCCTCTTGGAGGGTTCCATGGAAAACGCACAGTGCACAGTGTAGAAAATGAGGAGTGTGGAGAATGCGGAGTGTGGAAAACGCGGACTGTAAAAATATAAAAAAAACATAATATGGAAGAAAAATATATTAAAATATATTCATGTATAAAGCTTTTATAAAAGAAAATATTTAAAGGTACACAAGTAATAAGGTATAAGACCCGGCATAACTCCTTCCAGTAATTATATAACCCCTTTGCGGACCCTGAAAGAGCAATTTATTTCCGGCTCAAACATTAAGCCGGAACAATTCTAACAATTTGATATAACCTTAAATTAAATAGTTTTAAATAATAATCAGTTGATGTACCTTTTTTTTCTTATTATTAATTCTGTTTAATTAAATCCTCTTTTATAATGACCTTGAAGTTGAGATACCAAACTTTTAAGAACAAACTTAAACATACTGGCATAAACTCAGATATCATAAACAAAAGGTCTATGGGGAATTTGGCGTACACAATTCTTCGTTTACATGTCTTGTTTGGAAAAGAGCGGGCCCTATTGTAAAGGTATGGGCGATTCCAATGGTGCGCTTTGGGCCTAAATTCCCGCTATTTAATAATAATAATAATAATAATAATAATAATATAGCGCTCAATCCACTATTTGTCCATGGGCATGAGCTTTTTTATTTTGTTGACTTTCTTTCTCTTTCTCGCGCTTTCGCTCGATGTTTGGTGTTTCATTACAAGCGGACCATCCCACGCTTGGGTTGACATGGAATACAAACTACGGAAATGTAAAGACATATATTCATCTTTGAATGAAGAAAACTTAATTTCGATGCCGATTCACTGAAAAGAAGTTTAAATGGCTCGGACGAATGGTGGACACATTTTAGTCGAAACATTTATTATTTTAAGCTTTGTCTTAGGCATTCATTTGAGTTTTATTTATGTTGAAAATCTACATGGATGAGTCATCATATATTTTGTTATTTCTATAGTTGCGTCTTTACACAATCTTAGTTTGGTGTACCTGTGGTAACACGCACATGCATAATCTCGCTCTTTAAGCCTGAGTTTCCCTTGTGAAGAAGAGCATTCGCAATAATGCTCTGGTGAAAACCAAAACCTTTTTCGACGTCGTACAGGGTGGTGGTGACAAATACCTGTCTGCTCTAGGCGTTCAGCAAGTGAAACGGTGTGAAATCCGCGCGAAATAGTAAAAAGCGTGATGGTCGCGGCTGAGCGAGAAACGAGGGAGGGAGAGAGTGAGGGAGAGAGGTACGGGTTATGTCGGGTTCATTATGCGATCCGACCCAGGCCAACCTCGTGTTTTTTACTCCTTCGTTAGTATTGCGCACTTCGTTTTACTTACTGAGTGTGAGGAACAGGCATAATAAACACATATAAAATCACTACAATGCAAGTAATGAGTTTCTTAGCAACTGATAAGATATAAGGTATTTTGTCTAATACTTTGGGATCTGCGGTGCTAACCAAAAGATTTGCGGCTTAGGGAACGAACCTGGCGTGTTCTGGCAGAATAGCTTGTGCAGTGGAAGATGTAAAAGCTTTCGTGGAAGATGGTTGAAATGCAGTTTTCTTGTGTTTTGCCATCATCAGATCATCAGCCTAAACGTTGATTTACGAAGACGCCTGAGAATGCTTCTAATTTGCGTATTTGCATTTTTCATCTCCGTGTTTCGATGTGTTCCTTAAGGCTCATTTGAATCCGTCCTGAGCTATAGCATTTTAACTCAATTTAGGTGCCAGTCATGATTTTTCTGCAGGGGGAAGGGGGGTGGAGAATTTCGGCTGTGTCACGATAAAATTTACTGTTTTACCCCCCTCCCTCCCCACCCAAGGCTCTGTGATATTATCATGGTCCCCCCTAATGGCAGTCAATTTTCTATAGTCTCCCTCGCTACGAAAACCATGTGATCTCAAAAACTCCTCCTCCCCCCCCCCCTCCCCCTCCCCCCATCCCGCCTAAGCGGTAACTAAAGATTGTTCCTTTAGAATTAGACTCCAGTAAGAGTTTTTTTTTTGTTCGAGGACACTAGCGAGATAACTTGAGGATAAAGTTTAAAATGGTCTTCCCTATATTCTGTCGGATCGGAGGCTACCTTTTGAAAAAAGAAAAAAAAAAAAAAAAAAAAAAAAAAAAAAAAAAAAAAAAGAGACTCTTATTACCCACCCCACCCCTGCTCCTTCGGTAAATGTGCTGCGTAACTGTCATCAAGTATCGCCAACGAAACCTTTGGGAGTAAGTCGCTCGGACAGTCAACCGTCCATTGTGCCACCGAAATAATGGGACGAAAATTGTTGATTGCTGCCTTAGTCGTTCCATTTGTTTGTTACTTATTTTTCAAATACCAAGACGGCGATTTCACTTTGATGATTTACGAAAAGATCGGGAAAGATCCCAGCGTTGCACTGCAGGGCAAAGTAGTTTGGATTACGGGCGCTTCCAGCGGGATTGGTGAATATTTAGCGTATGAATTGGCGAAACACGGCTGTAAATTAGTACTATCTGCAAGGAGGAAGGAAAAGTTAGACAATATCAAGCAAAAGTGCGCAGGTAAGGCGAAAAAAGGATACAAACCGGTGCGAAGCTAGAGAATTTAATCAGGTTGGTTGTATTGCCGAGTCAAATTTGAATAAGTATGATTAAGAGCATCGATTCACTCATGCAGTGACCTTCATTTTAAATTTAAAAAAATTTGTCGCCGATCTAGTTTTGATTTTTTTGTGCACGTCTTACTACAACTTCAGAAGGAAATGTTTAGTTTCTCAGGGACCAAAATAAGGGCCCGTTTACATGGAGGTGGGGGACCCCAGGTAGGTGAGGTAACTCGCCTGTCCATACAATTCCTTATTTTATTTTGGTCACGTTTACATGATAGGTGGGGTGACCCGCCGAGGCGGGTTGCCCGTTCTGCCAGGTAGGGTAACCCTGTCAGCCGGGGTGACAATTTGCCATGTAAACGTGTCAAGGTGGGGTGACCCGCTTAGCCGGGGTCGAGTTCATGACAAAAAGCTCAAAAGCGAAATATGCATGTTTTAAAACTTTGTACATTTCCTAGCCGTCTCATGGCAGAAATCGCCAGAAACCGCAACGGACATACAAGGAGTGTAAAATGTTCACATTTCGAAATATTTAGCGTTGTAAATCTACCATATTTGGTTTCCCAAACTATTCTGTACAACGTATTAAGTCAACGGTTCCTCGCGAAACCGAACACCGCGTAACACAACGCGTGACGCTTTCATGAATAAATACATATGTGTCCGAGAATTAATCTTCGCCTCTGCTCAAACTCCTTAATTGCAAGCGCAACAACAACCTCAAGAAACCTCACCCCAGCACCCTGGGGTTGTAAGATTGCATGTAAACGCGTTTCATTTTTCGACCAGTCCCTAAGACTGCGTGACAGGATACCTTGAGCCGCGACTCAATGTTATGCAAAGTTACTGAAGCTGTGAAGCATACAACGTATCAGGGAGCACGCATAGGCTCAAATAGGCAGACAAGTCAGGTTCGGCGAGAGATCAAGGCAGTGAGAGTGAAAGTCTTAAGGGAATGACTCAAACATGCCTCTTCCATTTTTCCTGATGTGTTGCTGTTTGTTTTTGGAAGTGATCACAGCGATTTTCTGGAAACTAACCTTACTATTACAGCTTATTACGATCATTGCTTATGCGAGCGTGGTAATCGCTAGGCTCGATTACCAGCCGTTGCCGCGTTAAATAAGATCGCGCTCCTCCCCTCTTGGAGGGTTCCATGGAAAACGCACAGTGCACAGTGTAGAAAATGAGGAGTGTGGAGAATGCGGACTGTAAAAATATAAAAAAAACATAATATAAAAGAAAAATATATTAAAATATATTTATGTATAAAGCCTGTATTAAAGAAAATATTTAAAAGTACAAAAGTAATAAGGTATAAGACCCAGCATAACTCCTTCCAGTAATTATATAACCCCTTTGCGGACCCTGAAAGAGCAATTTATTTCCGGCTCAAACATAAAGCCGGAACAATTCTAACAATTTGATATAACCTTAAATTAAATCATTTTCCAGACTCCTCATTTTCCACGCTCCTCTTTTTCCTATTACTTGCGTATCTTTAAATATTATTCTTTAATACAAGCTTCATACATGTATATATTTTCATATCTTTTTCGTTTATATATTTTTACACTCCGCATTTTCCACACTACTCATTTTCTACACTCAGCACTCCGCACTCTGCTTTTTCCACTGAACCCTCTCGGAGAGGAGCAAAGACCGAATGCGAGAGAGAGGCGGAAATCGAGCCTAAGAAATCGTCAGCGGCGATTGAAACGATACTGTAGTAATCAGGGTTTGGGGAACTGGTACTCTCCACATAAAATTCTCAGTTATGTACTAAATTCTTAAACTTCGTCTTATAGATGTCATTTTATTTCTTTCTTCTTTGTTTTGCAGACATTGCCACTGGTCTGGATTCGTCATTTAAAAAAGATCAAGAAATTCTTGTTCTTCCTTTGGATTTGGTGAAATATGACACACACGAGAACCTGACACAAGATGTTCTCAAGCATTTTGGGAAGGTAAAATGAGAGTTTGAATTGTTCTTGAACTAACACTCAGTCAGTTTTCGAAACTGTAGAAGGACACCAGATTTATCAGGAGTGGAGTGAGCGTGACAAAAACGGGGAAATAAGATAACATTAGGCAACACTTTTGTGCTCTTTTGATAAATAAATCGCTGTAAGTAATTAACCCTTGATCACCCAAGATCTGATTGTTAATTCTCCCCTCTAGCTGCTTCACATTTCCTTGTCAATAAGTGGCAAGAATTTGGTGTTAGATCGAGATAACAACTTCTATCTGATACATTTGAATACTCTCATTACCAGTTTCCTGGATGGTGGATGGAAATTGAAGGGAGAAGTTACATGTGAATCACTTTTGGGGGTTAAAGGGTTAATTAAGAATCAATCAAACGAGATCACCTACAATCATCGAAGTTCAATGGCGCGGCCTCATGACCAGACAACTTTGCCTTCTGAACAACATCGAAACGTTCTATCGATTTTCCACAACTTTTAAACTGAGACGACGCAGGGTTGAAAAGTGGGAATATCACCAGATATTCTCCAGCTTTAGCTATGGTATCTGGTCGTGTGACACGATTAGAAGACTTACAAGTCTGGGAGGGTGGGAGGTGGGGATCGGGGCGGAGGATTTTTGGGGGTATCACACGGTTTTAAGAGGGAACAGAGGGGGAGGGATTAGTCGCCGCTAGCGGTGTATAAAGGGGGACTATATAAAATCGACTGCCAAATAACTACCAACAAGGGGGGAGGGGGGGGGTGTGGGGGCATCAGATATTTTAATCCTGACACAACCAAAATCTTCTAACTGCTCCAACCGTCTCCCCCTCTCGCTGCGGCGATAGATAACAAGTAAACTCATTAAACCTGGATAAATGATAAAGAATCCTCAACAATAGCCATATTTTGCATTAGATTGACATTTTAGTGAACAATGGCGGCAGGAGTCAAAATTATTTGGTGAAGAATACTCCTTTGGAGGTTGACAGAGCACTCTTAGATTTAAATCTCATTGGAACAATCTCCTTGACTAAAGCAGTCCTTCCACACATGATTGATCGCCATAATGGACAAGTTGTTATAGTGAGCAGTATCTTGGGAAAGTTCGGTAAGGTAAAAAGTCTCCATTGTAATTATAATTTTCTGATATCAATGTATAAAATGTTGATGGTATTCTTCTTGACGGCGCAATGCAGGTTGAGAAAATAGTAATGAAGGAGTGATAAAACCGAAGGAGGCTTGGGTCGAATCGTGTTCAGGGTTTATTACGCGACCCGACCCAAACCTCTTCCGCTTTTTCACTCCTCCGCCACCATAGCGCTGTTTACTATCGCAGGTTGTGGAACAGACCATGACGCAAGAGAAAAACTTCATGTGTGGATCCGCTTTTTATGGGAAGTTTTTTTTTTTCTGTTTGCTCGAATCCCCTTTAACGAGAAGATTCAAATCTATGGCAATAGGGACTGAAAGTGTTTCGCTAACATGTTGAATCATTATCATTTAGGAAATAGTGGTAGTACTGTATGTCTTTTCAAATAAGATTATGATTTAAAGTAGCTTACGAAACAACAAATCTTGATAGAAATCTTTGCATACTGAAACAAGAGGTCCAAACCGCAGTCTCTGTTGAACGCTTATTAAAGCAAATCAAAGGAATTTCAGTGTCGCTATACGGAGCGCGGAGAACTGAAGGAAAAAAATAAGAAAAAGAAAAGAGCCCCAACGGTGAGAACGGGCGAATGACCAACAGCTGAACGGTTTAAGTTTATCACGTTCTTGTTTGAGAGGATGGTGCGGGGATTTTTCACCGATCACAACACGGATGATACAGTTCTAAATTAAATATGACACTCAATCAAGTGGAAATTTGTCTTTTTTTGCAGGGCACCCATTTGTGTCTACTTATTGTGCCAGCAAACATGCACTACAGGTACGAAATAGCTGTAGTTTGCGCAGAATTTAAGTTCCTTGATCAAAACTGTTTATACCCATACTTTGAAAGCACTGTGCATAGTAGACTCGCAGACAAGCCCGAATGAATGGGACACAAATGTCGAGGGGAAGAAAAAGGAATAAAATGTTGAGCGAAAAGGGAATTCATCCCCCATTTCTGTGTTAGCATGTGTACATAAACATGCATATATCTATTCATTGATTATTCAATGTAGTATAGTTATCCCGAGGTAGTGAATAGATCGTGGCACTGATAGCACAGCAATTTCCGTCTAAATTAGTTAAAATTGACTCAAATTTTGGCGGATTTTGAGCGTTATTTTCGGCACATTGCTTTTGATTCCAAAACATACTTCAGGTTTCTTTGCCAAGACGAAATACCGCATCATACCAGCCACGAACTACTATTTTAGTAGTATTTGACAAATGTTTTTCTGTCTAAATAATGTGTTATCACTTTTGATATTATTTATTGATACTTTATTAGGGCTACTTTGACAGTGCGCGTATCGAGTTGGCAGAACACAACGTCCATGTGCAGACTGTTCTTCCAGGACCAGTGAAGTCAGAAGTTTCTCTTCACGCTTTTACAGAGGACGTCAAAGTTGTAAGAAAATGAGACTTTAATTGAAAAAGAATTCAATAATCCTTGGTACGCTGTTGAGTTAATGTGTTTCACTGCAAAGGAGTGAGCTTGGCCGCGTTCAAAGCGGCACGCGTGTGAAAGTCAAGTGGTTTGATCTCTCGTGCGCGTGTAACGCGCGTTTGCGCTAAATACCTGCTACGCATCATGGGACTACCTTGCTAGCCTATGGTGCAGGAAGGTGGAAGGCGAGGCACAATAATCATTGGTAATAAGACTGTGTGAAGTCCAATTCGTCCTGTTATCTTACGATTAGTGAACAAAATTGGAGTAAAGACACATACAATTTACTGAAAGCTTTCTCTTTTCCGGCAGGAATTTAAAGATTCTCAGGATTTCTTGGACATCGCTAACAAGTTGGGAATGTCGACTGAACGCTGTGCAAGGCTAATGGCGGTAGGAATGGCGAATAACTTGGATGAAACTTGGATCTCTGAGAACCCGTCGCTAGTTATTACTTACATCAGCCAGTACTTTCCAAACTTTTACAGATGGTATGTGTTTGCCTACGGGCTTATTCGTTACATTTGAACCATCAGGGGCGGGGAGGGTGGTGTCACAGCGATCCTTAGGCCTCATGCACAAAATGTTATAAATATCTTGGAGCGCAAAACAAATGAAAATACCCGCAAACAAAGTAAAAGAAAAATGAAAAAAAATAAAAAAAAAAAGAGGAAAATCGTAAGAGAATGAAAAATTAGAAGAGATGATTGAATCTGATTTTTTGGAGAGTGGCACGAGTTTTCTGGTCCAATCACAGAGCATAGTGAAGCAAAACCAACGTAGTTCCAGAGTGGTTTCCACACCAATCACAAAAATTTCTCTTAGCATACAGAGAGCTTACAGCCGATCCTTATTTCCTCTTACCCCAATGCAATCCGCAGAAATCAATAGAACGTGACAGAAAAAGAAACCCAATACCGCGTGAACTCTTGAAGGCAAGGCTCGGCGCTAAGATTTTTGTCACCTATTTCTGTTGATACGTGTCGCAGATTTGCGCGGAAAGACGGAGTGCTCTTTAAAAAACGAATCCCATTATTCAGCTATTCTTATCCCTGCGCACAGCTCTGTCAATTAAAACCCTTTTTAAATATCTTATATTTTCAGGTTCTCCAAGAAGTTTTTGATGGAGGAAATAAAGAAAACGTGGAAAAGGAACTAGTGACAAGAGACTTTCTAGTACTAGAGACTAGTACCCAGTTTTTTTGATGTTATGACGATACGGTCCACGCCAAATAACGGTGGATTTCAGTTGTCTGATGTACCTTTTTTTTCTTATTACTTATTTTGTTTAATTAAATCCTCTTTCATAATGACCTTGAGGTTGAGATATCAAACTTTTAAGAACAAACTTAAACATACTGGCATAAGCTCAGATGTCATAAACAAAAGGTCTATGGGGAACTTGGCGTGCACAAGTCGTTTTATATGTCTTGTTTGGAAAAGAGCGGGCCCGATTGTGAAGGTATGGGCGATTCCAATGGTGCGCTTTGGGCCTAAATTCCCGCTATTTTCACCCTATAAGCCGGCCCTGTGAGCTTTTTTATTTTGTTGACTTTCTTTCTCTTTCTCGCGCTTGCGCTTGATGTTTGGTGTTTCACCGCAAACGGACCACCCCATACTTGGGATGACATGGAATACAAACTACGGAAATGTAAAGACATATATTCATCTTTGAATGAAGAAAACTTAATTGCGATGCCGATTCACTGAAAAGAAGTTTAAATAGCTCGGACGAATGGTGGACACATTTTAGGCGAAACACCTGAGTTTTGAGTTTTATTTATATTGAAAGTCTACATGGATGAGTCATCATATATTTCGTTATTTCTATAAATGCGTCTTAACACAATCTTAGTTTGGTGTGCCTGTGATAACACGCATACGCATAATCTCGCTCTTTAAGTCTGAGTTTCCTTGCTAAGAGGAGCATACGCATTAATGCTCTGGTGAAAACCAAAACCTTTTTCGACGTCGTACAGGGTGGTGGCAACAAACACCAGTCTGTTCCAAGCGTTCAGCAAGTGGAACGGTGTGAAATCCGCGCGAAATAGTAAAAAGCGTGATGGTCGCGGCTGAGCGAGAAACGAGGGAGGGAGGTACGGGTTGTGTCGTGTTCATTATGCGATCCGACCCAGGCCAACCTCGTGTTTTTTACTCCTTCGCTAGTATTGCGCACTTCGTTTTACTTACTGAGTGTGAGGAACAGGCATAATAAACACATATAAAATCACCACAATGCAAGTAATGAGTTGCTTAGCAACTGATAAGATATGAAATATTTTGTCTAATACTTTGGGATCTGCGGTGCTAACCAAAAGATTTGCGGCTCAGGGAACGAACCTGCCGTGTTCTGGCAGAATAGTTTGTGCAGTGGAAGATGTTAAAACTTTCGTGGAAGATGGTTGAAATGCAGTTTTCTTGTGTTTTGCCATCATCAGATCATCAGCCTAGACGTTGATTTACGAAGACGCATGAGAATGCTTCTAATTTGCGTATGGTAAATTAGCGGCTTTTGCATTTTTCGTCTCCGTGTTTCGATGTGTTCCTTTAGGCTCATTTGAATCCGTCCTGAACTATAGTATTTTAACTCAATTCAGGTGCCAGTCATGATTTTTTCAGCAGGGGGGAGGGGGGTGGAGGATTTCGGCTATGTCACGATAAAATTTACTGCTTCCCCCCCTCCCCGCCCAAGGCTCTGTGTTATTATCATGGCCCCCCTCTAATGGCAGTCAATCTTCCATAGTCCCCCTTGCTATGAAAACCATGTGATCCCAAAAATTCCTCCTCCCCCTCCCCCATCCCGCCTAAGCGGTAACTAAAGATTGTTCCTTTAGAATTAGACTCCAGTAAGATTTTTTTTTTGTTCAAGGACACTAGCGAGATAACTTGAGGATAAAGTTTAAAATGGTCTTCCCTATATTCTGTCGGATCGGAGACTCTTGTTCCCCACCCCACCCCTGCTCCTTCGGTAATTGTGCTGTGTAAGTGTCATCAAGTATCGCCAACGAAACCTTTGGGAGTAAGTCGCTCGGACAGTCAACCGTCGATTGTGCCACCGAAACAATGGGACGCAAATTGCTGATTGCTGCCTTAGTCGTTCCATTTGTTTGTTACTTATTTTTCAAATACCAAGATGGCGATTTTACTTTGATGATATACGAAAAGATCAGTCGAGATCCCGGCGTCGCACTTCGTGGAAAAGTAGTTTGGATCACAGGGGCTTCTAGCGGGATTGGTGAATATTTAGCCTATGAACTGGCCAAATACGGCTGTAAACTGGTCCTGTCTGCACGGAGAAAGGCAGAGTTAGAGCGAGTCAAAGAAAAGTGTGCAGGTAAGGCGGAAAAAGTTGAAAAAATTATGCTGCGCTCATCAAATTTGGTTGACTCGACGCTTAAAATTTGAATGAGCTATTACTTTGTTACGGTGCATAATTATACAACCATTTGATAGCATTAGTTATAAGTCGATTCTTCTAGCAGTAAGTCACCCTTATTAACGGATTCTTTCAATTTATTGAGGGATTCAATTTTGTCTTCTAATTACAATGAAATTTAGAAATCTGCTTGTTTTCCTTTCGAGGACTTTGTACTTGCAATTAAAATGTGAAGCAAGATTGCGTGACAGCATTCGTGGCAGTGAGCCGTAACGCCGCCCACCATGGAGCACATGAGATTCGCATGGCCACCAGAAATGTTTTCTTGCAGGCAGTTTTAAAAATACTTCGCGTTCCTCGAAATGAAAACGTTGCTAGCGGCTAGGCCATGAAACAACGATAATCGGTCTACTCCCAGACATAATTAGTTTGGACACTTCTTCCAGAGAAAATTATTTGTTGTTCCTTTTAACCCTCTCTTCCCTCCCGTGTATTAATTACCAATGTGTTTACGTCACCTTGCAGACCAATATTGAAATGGCCGGGAGGTGGGGCGGGGGCGGTGACCAAACAAATGTGTTTGGGAGTGGAGAGGGTTGATCCCATTAAGACCTCAGTATAGGTTAATGATTTTTGGGTCATTTAATGGAGTGATCTTAGAGGAAAGAGGAAAGTTTTTAAGTCCTCTTTGCAAAACATTTCTGAGCCAGGATCCAGTTTCTTGCTTTTGTCATTATCAATTTTCTTCCATGATTTTTCAGCCATTGCCAATGGTCTTGATTCCTCGTTTAAAAAAGATCAAGATATTCTTGTACTTCCATTGGATTTGACAGAATTTGATTCACATGAAAAACTTACTCAAGAAGTCCTCAAGCATTTTGGGAAGGTAAAGCGAGAGTTGAATTGTGTATAAGTATAAAAATTATTAATCTACTTCTGCAGAGTTGAATGAGAGGCATATCTCAAGACGAGGGCGTATTTAAAGATAGAAAAAAAAACATATGCAATGCTTCAATTTTAATTTCTTGCCCTCACTTCCCTAACTAAGGATGGAGCAATTAATTGACTACACTTTTTACTAATAACCAGAAATTTATTAAACGAGAATTTCACGCTCTTTACGTCTTCTAGTACACTGTTCGCATGATCTACTTATACTGTCAGCAAGCCCTCATAATCAGCACTTTGGCAAGCGTGTTTCGTCGCTCACGGGAAAGAATGAGACTTCATTATTTGTGCCAGACACCGGATAACTTCTTCTCGATTCGCCTCAAATCTTCCCGTGGGCGGAGAGACGCACACCATGCAATGCGGTTCTTGTCTCAGGCCACGATTCTCTGGACATTATTCGCATTCAGTTGTAACTCTGATTATGCCTTGAGGAGCCCAATGCTGGTGTGAAATTGAAATAGGCAGCTATTTTGCCGCCCTTCGAGAACTTCGGCGTCTTGCGTTTTAGAATTGATAATTTTCAGCATGACAGCATTACAGGTTTAAAATTGGTAACGATCTATTTTTAGAGGGTAGTCATCGATTTCTCAATAGACGTAAGGCATACTCACAAACTTAACAAAAATGAAAATTGGACCAAAAGTTTTCTCTACTCTTTGTCTTTATTTTCATTTAGGTTGATATTTTAGTAAACAATGGTGCCCGATCGCAAAGATCTTTGGTGAAGAAAACTCCTTTAGAAGTGGACAAAGCTCTCTTAGATTCAAATCTTATTGGTACGATCTCCCTGACCAAAGCAGTTCTTCCACACATGATAGCACGCCATTACGGACAAATTGTAATAGTCAGCAGTGTTCTGGGAAAGTTTGGTAACGCTGATATTTTTTATCGTAATTTTACCTCAAGTTATTTCCATTACAGGACGAATTGAAACGAAAAATTAATAGATTTTATCAAATCCATATGGGAAGTGCGGACTACTTCTGAGAAATGATACGATACTTAATCCTTCACGTATGTTTTCTCTCTTGATACATGATATCTAAGCCGCGGTAAGTACTTTCTTGTATGCCTTCTTTTTTTTGTAACCTTGAAGATTATTAATGAGTTTGAGAAAATGGCTGCTCAAGGCGTTATTGAGTTTTGTGTGACGTCACGTTTGTTTGTTTGAGCTTAAGAATCATGTGCGTACAAACTAGAACTTTGGAATCGCCACTGCGGAAGTTGTTGTATAGGATCGGTCGTCTTTCGGGGACGAGAGATGTTTATTCGGTGTTCTTTCCCTTATTAATTACAGTCCTATAAAACTTTGACTTGTAAATCGTTAAAATTTGGAACTAACAATGGCTTTCTTATATCTAGCAATTACTGGTTCATTAAGAACAATTACTTCGGTGGTTATGGAGATGCGGATGCTCTGATTGACCCTGATTCATATTTGACTGCTTTTTACCTACATGAATGATTTTTTGCAGGATGGCCTTATGGAGCTACATATTGTGCCAGTAAACATGCGTTGCAGGTATGAAGTAACTTTTCTTTGAGCAGTGCATGAACTGTATCAGGACTGTTATCTTTGCGTAGGTTGTCTGTCCACGCCGTGTGGAACTCTGGGAGTGAGGCGCGGCGCGCTAAAATTAGTTTTCGTTTTCGCCAATTTTTCTACTAAGACGACGGACTCCCCACGGCTTAAGTAAGGACTGCCCGTAGTCTACGTGAGGGATTTTAAGGAGCCTTAGTACCTCTTCACATTTTTCTTCTCCGTTTTTCCTTTTACCCATAGAAATCTAGTAGTTTTAAGGAAGAACCCATTTGGTTGGCTCTATGTGCTCCTATTTTAAAAACGATCATTCGCTTTTTCCAGTCATCGAATCGTAATAACCGCCACACGAATAGTCTTTGTAAAGTTCATATATTATCTGTATTGAAAGTTAGAGCCATCTTGAATTATACCAAAATTAAGTTCTCTCTGAACTCCAAGTACAGAAGTTTTAAAAACTTTGCAAAAAGAACGATAAAACGAGAGGTAGTTGCACCCTATGAAACCATTCAGCTTTTTTTTAATTTCAAGCTCATCAAGTTACGATTGTTTTCCTTTGAGGGACATCACATGTACTGTTAATTTTTTGCTTGATCTAAGTTTGTAGGGGCTTATCGATGATAAATGAATAATTCTTTATTAGGGTTACTTTGACAGTGCGCGGATCGAGTTGACAGAACACAACATCCGTGTGCAGACTGTTCTTCCGGGGCCAGTGAAATCAAACATTGGTCGTCATGCTTTCACAGAGGACGTCAAAGTTGTAAGAAAACAAAGCTTTGATTTACAACTAATTCAATAAATGTGTATATTTTAAATCAAATTTAGAAAACAATAACAACAAACGATGCAATTGAGCAACTTCTCTTTCTTGAGAAAAGAGACAACTGATCAGGGAAGACTATGAAATTAACCAAAAGTGTAAATTATTGCCTTAGAATCGCGTTAGATCCAAACACCGAGCAACACAGAACAAACTGGCTATAATCAGTAGAAGTGACGGGCCTGTAAAACAATTATGGGGGCTGAGAGAAGGACTGACCTTCATTCTACTAGGGAAAAAAAATTCATTTTGGAGATTTTTGCTAACTCAGTGAAAAGGGTTTTTTGAAGTAATCTTGCATGGACAAAGTTTGCACAACCCGGGAAATTAACCATGTCCGAGAAGCCTCTGTTCTAGACGCTGGCTTTCTCAGTCCTTCCCTTGCAACATTTCATAATCTTTCCAATTGTCTGAAGAATATATGCTGTTCAATTGATCGAATCTCGGTTTGCTTTTTTCTTTCCTCACCTATTCACAAATTTAATTTACGGGTGCTGATAAGTTTTCTATGACTTGCAGGAATTTAAAAACACGCCGAACTACCAAGAGTACGAGGGAAAAATGCCGACTGAACGCTGTGCAAAGCTGATGGTTGTGGGAATGGCGAACAACTTGGACGAATTATGGATTTCAAATAACCCAATGCTACTTATGACTTACGCCAACCAGTATTTTCCAACCGTTTTTAAATGGTATGAGTTTTCTGTGCGGACTTATCTTTTTTTACATGCGCTTGAATCCTTGATTCGCAACTTTAACGATTTAACGCAAGCTTAGATGTAACAGTTTGAGAAGAAAAAAATTTCATGGAAAATTCCCTAACGACGCGTCAACATCTTAAAGATATGCAGTAGTGCCCTCTTTTATTAGGGATAGTGCCTAAGCTGCCCTATCGGATTTACTATTAGAATTGAAGGGGAGGGGTAGGGAATCCCCACCCCTCCCCCCTGCTTTTTCTTAACCCTCCCTCCCCCGCTCCTTTCGTCTCTAATCTTTCTCAGCTCTAGAAATTTAGGATGGGCTGCCAATCTTTTCACTAAGAAACATTTACTCCTCGTTAAATGATTTTTGATAATGACTCCGCGATACTGGGGACGTTTCACCCGAGCGATAGGAGGGACATCTCATACCAATTCCCCTACCCCACTCCTTAAGGGAGGGACATCTAATATCAGCCCTATGTCCCACTCCCTAAGGGAGGGACATCTCATATCAACCCTCCCCACCCCACTTCCTAAGCCTCCCCTCCTTTCATCTTCTTTGCTTCCATCAATATTCGTTAGCGCACGCACGCTTTCTGAGAAGTTTTTTCATGTACGTTATTAACAAGTAATGACATGATTTCTCTTGCAATTTGGTGTAATAAGCACATGTAAATTTTTCAAAGACTACAAATTGCACTTGCCCTACGGGTTCGTGCAATTTTGTTGTCTCTGAAAAATTTACTCGTGCTTAGCACCAAGTTGCAAGAGAAATCATGTTATTACCTATACTAATCATACTTCAACTGGTAATTTTCGTACAAACTGCGCTATCCTAATACGACAAAAAAACACGCCAATAGACTCTGTGTTTGGATTTTCACAATTTCGTAGGTCCACGGTTTTGAGTAATTTGGTGGCTCGTAAAAAGTTTCATAGGAGGAGTGAAAAAAAAAAAGACAACCTTCCTTTGCAACTTCTCTAACTGACCTCTCTGTGCTCTAAATGACGATACTTTACACTTTCCTCTCTATTCAGGTTTTCCAATGAGTTCCTGATGGAGCGAATTACGAAATTGTACATGAAGGGGAGTTAAGCCTGAAATACGAACGAAACAAGCAAATGGTGCAACGGTTGGGAAAGACGTCGTTTGCAAATAGAAAGATGTGTGGTATGCTCTGTCGCCTTGTGGGGATACGCTGGCACTTTTTGGATGTCTTCATCCTTACACTTTTCATTTGATTTAGCTCTTTTATTTCGTGTCCATGCCTTACAAGCGGTTTCTTACTGACGAGACTAAGGCTGTTCTTACGCAAAATCGAACTTTGTTTCAACCAGTGAATCAGAAGATTATGTCCTCTTTCGCTGACTGGACATACAACTATCTCTTTCCCTTTCACTTGTGCTTCTAGCATCTTTCCACTAAATATCAGGCAGGGATCTTAGAATTTTTTTCTTTTTCGATCAGGTACTTGCAGCCTTCATATATTTCTGATTAACGGTGAAAAATACCATTAGCTAAAATTGCTTATAACGGGCTGAAACAGTTAACAAAGTCTGTTAAAGGGCACCTCAGAAAGTACACCCCAGAAAATATGACGAAATTGACGTGGGCAGTTTGTATTTCAGTCTTGTTGTCAGATCAGCGGTTTTCTCTATGTTCCTTGACTTAAAAACCTTTTTCGTTTTTTTCTGCTGAATAAAGTAAAATGTAATCAGCAATCACTTGGACTTTTTAATTGTTTTTATTTCATCACTTGATCAAAACATATCGAGTCTATCCACAGCGTTTTTTGTTTCTACGTTTGTTTGAGTGAAGCGATTGAAGCGAATGCGCTGGGAGGGCTTTTCTCTTCCTTCAACTTCGATATTTTTATTCGCCCCCGTTATTTCGTTGAGAAGCTTTGTGAACAGGCCAGAAAAACTGAAATCATAGACGCCTCTCTCAGAGAGAGGTGTAGATAAGGAACTAACATTTCAGGTTTATGAAAGGATGTTTCGGACAAACTAGGTAATCTTCTTTATTCAACATCTTCTGGCGTATTCATAGAAAAAGAACTTTAGCGGCCAGCAGTAATTTTTTTTAGCAGGTTTTATCTTCAACATAGGCCCTTCGAGGCTGGCTATTTAGTAATTGCAGACTGGGTAAAAATACAACCTCTTTTCCTCAGGTGGTCATCTCTTAACTCCCAAGATCTATGTGTTAATTCTCCCCTCTAGCTGCGACACATTATTTTGCTAGTTAATTATGAGGATTTGATGTTAAATCAAGAGAACAACTTCTACCTGATAAGTTTGAGTATTCTCATTACCTGTTTGCCGGATAATGTATGGATATTATAGGGAGAAGTTACCTGTTAATCACTTCTGGGAGTTAAGGGGCTAAAGCAAGATCTAAATTGAGCAATTTTTAATATCCGGGATTGCTTTGTTTTTGCTTACTTCAGTCGATGATTGGTCCAGGAAACTGGCGCCATTCTCTCCACCAATCAGAAGCAAAACAAAAACCAATCACGACTTGGTCGTCCGCGTTTTCCCGCGCTTCAGGCGGTTTGAGTGGTTGGTTTTACTTTGAGTTCTCAATGGCTTTTTGAGATATTTTTTCGCTGTTGGGACTAATTTGGTTTTATCACGCTCAATCGAAAAGCGCTCTGTCAATTCTCCTTACTGTTATCCATTTCTCATTATCTTAGCTGTGAGAATTTGCAGCTGAATTAAACAGCATCCTTAGATGCTATATACATTTTTTGCTTGAAAATTAACTGAAATCATAAGGAGAAATTTCTTTATGATCGCTCCCGCGAGTGAAAGCCGGGCTAAAAAGGCCGAATTGAGAAGAAGCAAAATTGATAAACAACGTTAATTGTTTGGAGAGATTTTTCATAAAACCATTTGGTACCACCAATATGACATGTTTAAAATTGTCTTTGCACATGGCAAATTAAAGTTTCGTAGTCTCTGTTTCATTTCCGAAAGGCTTCCATTTAGATGACATATCAATCGTCGTTTTTGGTTATCTTTTCAAGATCAACCCCTAATCTTAACGGGCTGTCGATCGCAAATGTATGTTCAGAATGTGTAGTTTTAATTGCGCACTGAATTACTGATTGTCTGCAATTCCATCGAGTTGGTTTAGTTAATGTGATCGCGTCGAATCGACGAAAATGCTCGCGCATTTTGGAACTGATTGATGTAACTCACACTGGGAAAAAAACACTCTTTGGAAAAACGAAACGATTTTGTTAAGTGGTTGGAGTTAATTGCAGTGGAGCGATTAAGTAGAAATCGATGCTACTCGGAGTCAATTACAACCTTATCAGCAAAACCGACTGAGTCAATAAATGGAAAAGATTATTTGTTATGACTTTTCATTGGAGCTTAATCCGATTGTCAAATTTTTAATTACTACTATCTTGGTCGTGATCTTCAGCTAACCTTTAATCTTAGATAAAAATGCGCAATTGTTCTCACCCAGTGCAGTTCAAGCACTCGAGTATGTGAGCTTCCTTCAATCGACGCTGTACGCCGGAGGCGGTGTATTGATGAATTTCTCTCGTGAAGATAAACATTAAGTCATTTTAACCCGAATACATCCGGTACAGCGCGCGTGTTTCGTTTCACACTTGTGTTTATCAATCCGATCAACGCTCTGTTTGAAGTAAAGCCAAATCAAAGATGCCGCTAAATGCTTAATACAATAGCTCTACTGGATACCCTAAATTATATACTTTATTAATCGATTGCACATGGCTCCCAAGACCTCCAGAATAAGGCAATTGCGTTCAAGAGAGTTAAACGAAAATTTATGATTGAGTTATGAAAGGGTAAGCACTGCTAATTCCCAACAGAATAAACTGCTGTCACACTTTGTAGCTTGATATCCCTTGGCAAACAATCCATTTTGCCTTAATAGTCCAAAGGCAGTTACAACTTGAGGTTTAGAGTTTGATACGTAGAGCGCGCTTTTCTACTTGAAAGTTTAGCTTTATGTTTAAGCGTGGATCTGTGATGAAATAAATTGTGTTTTCTCTCCGGACATTATTTTAATTCATTCAAACTAAATTGAACTAAATCCACTCAAGACTACAAACTATCAGATGAAGCAATTGACTGTCTCCTGTCTGGCATGGTTACTAAAAGGTGTTTGCTTAATTTTGTCAACGAACAGTCAAGGTTGTTTATCCAGTGCATTAGTTGTTAACGACTCCAAGTGCGTGCGACTCAAGTATGACAGAGAAGAACAATCAGCGAGCTCTTTTAGCTGAAGAGAACCAGATAATATTTCGGTTTTAGATATGTTACAACCAGTCACGTTTTCGCAACGGGCGGCGTTTTCGATTCTGTCCCTATTTCAAGCCATGCCGATAAATTTCACTTTTTCAAATGTCCTTTCATATCGAAATAAACGTCCCAGAAACCAACTACTGCTTTGACACAAAAAGTCATTCCTATTCTGTGTGCGGAATCTGTTCAGATTTTAGATCAACTCTTTCGTTTATCTGTTGCCTTAATTTTTCACAGAATTTGTTTTCAACATTTTGAGAAGTCCGAAGAAGTTGAGCATGAAATCGCTCAACGCCGAAAGTACATAAAAACTAGTCTATTTCAATTCCTTTTTGCGGCAAGCCATTAAAATGCCCTACAAGTAATTACACATTGAAAGCGAGAATATCTCGAAACAGCATTAAGCTGTAGACACCTCTCACTTTAAGTATTTGTTTCAAAAGATAACGAAATGGTTCAAATATAGGCTAATGACAGTTTGATCCAAAACGATGCATTACCCTTACTGATAGTTTCGAAAGTGCAAATATGGGAAACGGATTGGTTTCCCGTTCGGAACTTCAGAGGGTACGGTGATCTTTGAACACAAAAGATGTGTGGTTTCCTTAGATTTTGCGGTACCTCGTGGGACGCGAGTAAGACTTTCTTAATTGTCCTTCACCAATCGATCAGAAAACAATGACACAGATTGTCGGCAGAAAAGTTGGGTAAAAAATCTAAGCTTCAGCGGTGTCGCGGAAGGAAATTGAAGCGAAATAAAAAGCAGAACGTTTGGAAAAGGGAAAAAAATTTAAGGTTATGACTTCTATGCTTAAAAAACACTCCTCGAAAGATCACAAATACATTTATCTGTGCGAAAAGATAAATTCAAAAAGGTGTACAATTATAAATTACAAGGTATTGCAAAACATCATCGATAAAACGTTTAAAACTTCGCCAACTTCGCTGAATTTTTAAGCTGCTCGACGGAAACCATTTGTTTTCAATTAACTATATCTACTGTTTATGGATGGTGCACAAAGTTCTAATTTAGATAGTATGCAACTTTTGATATCGCTCAATCTAATTATCAGGCGACCAGCCGTGAACAAGAGAACACGCAATTTCCAATTCATCTTTATTTACCGCAAAATTGAACGCAGACTTCACTACATGAATGACGCATTTGAATCATTTTCCCTAATTCCCATGCCAAGTAATGCGACATTTCTAAACGTCTCGTAAAGAAAACAATTTTTGAGAACTGGAATTAGGCATGGATTTGTTGATAAAATGTTTTTGAGTGGAGGGGTTGTTAATTAAGACTTCAATGTTACCAATAGCCCTTTGTAACAATGAAAAGTCCATAGTTTGAGTCGTTCCACTGGCAGGGGGTCTATAGTTGTCAGCCTAATAAAATATAATTTATAGTCGTAGTTTCAGTAAAACGGAGTCGTAAAAATTTGACAATTGAGCTGTGTACTGCTTTTGCTTAATTGAAATGTCTAGAGCACTTAAACCGTTTTCGCTTCAGCTTGAAACGGTTCTTCAACTTAAATCGACGAGTGGTTTGTTATAAATGACTTGGCAGCAAGAAACCCACTGCGCGTTGATAGAATTGCAAATACCACAGCCTGAGCCAGAGAACAACAGAACGCGTGGAGACCAATTAAAGAATCAGTAAAGTTAAGAAATCGTTTGGCATTCATAGATCCGAATAAATGCTGACGTTTTCCTGAAATAAACACCGTTTTGAGCGAGGGTGTTCAATTATCACACAAATGAGTTACTCGCTGGTCAATTGCTTCCTGCAGAAGTTAATGAATTAACCTTCGTATGATTTGTAAAATTTACTCGCTAAATGGCGATTTGAGCTCATTAAACGTTCTGAGTCTTTTGTAGCTGAGCAGGTCCAGGCTTGCTACGGTTCTAATAGCTTTTTTAGCGTTCAGGATTTCCTTAATCGGTCTCTTAATTTATGTAGGCGCGAAACCTTTGTATTGAGATAATTGTCTTGATCCGCTGAGTTCAAGAATATGAACTGTTAAAACGGTTGCTTCTGAACTGTACATATTGGTAATTTAAAAGTGGCGAGTAAACGCGAATAAAATAAATAAAAGATTTTTTACACCTTTTGATCTTCTAAATAGAGTTCCATCCTTCTTACATCTTCTCGTCAGCTAATCTTTAGCTGCTCTCATCTAAATCCGAGGTTTTGTCGTCGTTGTCTAAGACATTTCCATACGTACTGTCTTTGTTGTCGGAATGCTCGCTTTGCGAATCTTTCTCCGTGTCAACTGTTGTTACACAATTTTTTTCCTGCTTTTTCCATTTTGTTCGTCTGTTCTGAAACCAAATTTTGACTTGTGTTTCGGTGACGTTTAGCAGAGCGGCCATGTCGCTTCGCTCCGCCGCAGTCAAGTATTTCTTCTCTTTAAATTG